TAAAAACCTAAAAATGTGTTTATGATTTGTAATTAAAACAATTAGTAAAAAACAGCTGGTGTAATCATATTTCTAAAATGTTAGAAGAACAAAAATATTCTCTATATTATTTCTAAGATTTATATATTTCATGAAATATGAACGGTGTATTTCTTATTAAAAGATTTGTACTTCAATAAAAATAAAATCTTACATTCAATTAACTTCATTTTATTTAACCACACATTTAACTTAAAACATTATCTTAACTCTTTTATTTTTCAACCTACTAGAATACCAACGTTTAAGATATAATATCATAAAATCTCAAATATTTCTCTACGATAAACAAAAATCAAAATATATATAAACTCACGAGACAAAAATAAATGACAAAAGAAAATGAGAAGTAATCATACTATAATCATACTATAAAGATACATTAGAAAATGATTGATAAATTTTATTATGACATTTATATAATGTAAGCAAAACATTGGTTGATCATATAAGCAAATCATGGTTTATTTTTGTTTAGTGACAAAGCATATAGATCATGTATTTTTTCTACTTAAATTTTAACAGTTTTTTTTTCTAATTGAAATAATTTGTTTTCCAAGCAAAACATAAGTAAAATATAAGCAAAACACAAAATAATTTAAGTAAACAAAAATGTAAAGGCTTAATGTTTTGATCATTTTTATAAAGCTTAACAAAAAAAAACATAAAACTTAATTAAGATGTAATGGAATATTTACACTTAAAGATCTTGAAATAAATAACATTTGTATAAGTCATGATCATTTTCACATATAAAAATATCAAAACTAATGGCATTAACATATGTTTGATAATAAGTATTTAATTTTATTATATTTATGCATAATACATTTTTTGTACATTTGTAGATATTGAAAATCATATGATTTGTCATCTACGTTTAAATATTAAAAAAAATGTTAAAATCGATTAGTCAACCTAATTATTTATTCTGCCCTAGGGCGCGGATCAAAATCTAGTCAATGTGTAACAAACAAAGAAACGAATCTCACGGATTTGCTAACAAACCCTAATTTCCAGAGAATGATTCTAGTTTACATTCCGATTGATTCCGAAACTGAAGCGGTTTGTTTCTCCATGTTTAAGCGTTGGCTTCTAAACGACTACGTTTTTGCTCTGTGTTCAAACAAGAAGAAAAATACTCTGGAAATTATTTTTGCT